GGGTCGATATTTGAACCCCGGTCCTCCCGAATACGAAGGAATGCTAACCATTCGCCGTGACGTTTCGTACAGAATATCTCAGCTGCGTTGTATGACCCATTTCCTATGTATATATGATGTAGGCGAAAAGCATCTCTGAAACGTCGGTCAGGTTCTTCAAGACAACACGAAGAGGATGGCAAATCCGATTCTACTCCGTCATTACTTTCCCGCCATATGCACGCACGCACCGTTCTTGAAACACATCACATAAGGGACATATTACAGAACCACGGATGAATAAGAATTGGAACCAAATGTTGTTCTACGTTCTTAATGTATTGCAGTTGTCGGTCACAAGGTTATAATGTTTACCGACTGAGCACTCTATCCTATTCCTTACATCTGTACTAGCGCGCAAATCGCCTGTCTTCTGATTTACGGCATCCAGTCCCAATCACACAAAAGATAAAACAATCAATAAATTGCATAATTATTTAACTTAAATTTATGCTTCCCTCTGTACAAAAATCTCGAAATGGTGAAGGAGGATTGGGTTAGTTTTGCATTTAAGATTTCAGTCCGTACCGCGAAGAAAACACCACATTTCGCCATTACGAAAATCAGCTGGTTAACCCTTTGAAGCCGAAGCTCGTCTTCATAATATTTACGAATCCAGACCGTACCGCGAAGAAAACACTACACTTCACCATTACGAAAATCAGCTGGTTAACGCTGTTTAAGGAAATAATCTCTGTTTGCAGTGCGAATCATACGAGACACATAAATACAAAAATGCAGAGTTACTGAATGTTTAAAGCAAGTTGTACAAAGTTACCACTGGGCTTTAAAAAAAGTTAAGAACACTTTACGTGTGTTGAGATATAGAAGGCGGAACATTTGTTGACCATCTGAGAGGCTATCGAGGGCTGTGATGTGAAAGATTAGCTCCGTGTGACTTCTTCCTCTTCCCAAAGATGAAAATTCAGCTAAAGGGAAGGAGATTTGAGATGATAGAAGAGATTCAGGCAGAATCGCAGATGGTGCTTGACAGGCTGACAAAGAAAGATTTCCAGGGATGCTTCCAGGCTTGGCAGCGGCGCTGGGATCGTTGTGTTCACTCCCAGGGGAACTATTTCGAGGGTGATGGATGAATTTAATACCTGAGAGAAGTGTACGGGTTTTTATAGGCGCAGTCTTGAAACTTTCCGATCGCACCTCGTATATCGTTAAACAATCCCAGTAGTTGATATAACGTCACTCTATAACCAACCTTACATGGACGTAAACTCGTAACACATTTCACAAGTAGCATTAGTCAGTACCGATATGACAATTCCACCTGCTGGCACTGAGAAAAAAAACACGTGTTTCTAAAAGCCGAGCTTCAAGATGAAAGACGATGTTTTGGTATGGAATGTAATTATTTTCTCTGTGTGACCTACAGTGGAAGCTATGATTCCATAACTCCCTTTAGCGTTCTTCATAACATCGCTTCAGATTCTTCGAATGGCTTGCGTTTTACGTAGAAATCAATTTGCATATTATACCGCGTATTCCCCCACCTATTGACACTGCATCCTGTTGGAAATCAAGGTGAAGGCTGGACTATAGCACAAAGCCACTAAGACAGTCTGATCACCTGATGATCGAGGCAGTACGCACCTCTGAAACGTCGGTCAATTACTACGAGACTACACGGGGCATTCTCATAGAAAGCTGTCGTCTTCATATTAAAGCTTCATTTTAATATCATCTCATCTACGTTTAGGTCTTCGGAGTGATCTTCCTTCAGGCTTTCACAACCAAAATTTTGTATGCATCTTTCATGTCCCTATACTATTATTCTTGATGCATCTATTATTGTAAAGCCAGTTTAATCAGTGAATCTACCATGGATTGGTGATGTAGCTTGGATGGGAGAATTTTTTTATTTAGTGTTCTGTCTGACGACAGGTCCATATGAACAGGATCCTTCCATCCTTTTCTCGGACTGGGACCTGTTCATATACGTTCTTGGCAGATGATCCAGAAGCGGTTTGCCATTGCCTTCTTCTGTGTGTGAATGGAGTAATTGTTCGGATGACACGGAGAAACCGGGGAAGTCCCCGGAGGAAAACTCCGTGTTGCCTAGACCACCGTGGCGGTTATGAGAGGAAAAACAAAATCAGAATTCTGGTGAATAAATACTTAAAAAAAATTGAGCACGCAAAGAACTAGGAAGGAAACCAGAGTATTATATTTGTTCATCTGTTTCACGTCCGCGCACTATATAGACTCGCTGTGCAGTGTTGCAGACCCTGACGCCCGCCCACAGACCTTCAACTGTTTTATTTCGTGATGATATGACGATGATAATAGGAAAACAGAAATAAAACATCACATTGCGTCCCTAGCATTACAATTTAACTTCACTAGTTCAACCAATCATTGGTTAATTGGATAACACACAATGCGACACTTAATCCTTATAAAGTTTATTTATATTCTCACGACGAGAGGGAGACACCTGTAAAGCAAATCTAAGGCGGTTTCTTGCGCGTTTCGACATGAAAATATAAAAAAAATAATTTTCGATTACCTGATACCTGTAATTATTACATCAGCGACAAATAATGACGGTGCGATGTGCTGATCCCCCACACCTGGAGAGTCTTACAGCTTGCCAGAAAGATTTAGTACGTGAAAATTTATTGTAATTGTGTTACGATCATTACAATCGCACGTGACAAAACGATTCGGTCAGCGTTACAGGTGTTTTGAGAATTTCTGTACTCGCCCTCAACAGCACAGCGTTAAAAAGAACGGTGATTATGAAATGTGAAATAGGAAAGAAGCGATAGCGAGCGACCGAGCATTCGTATAGAGGGAATGAGGAAAATCATGTTCAATTGAGTTAGATGGATCAGTCACGCGGGTCGCGTTTTGAATGCACTAATGGGGGCCGGTATATCTCATCTTCGTTGATTTCAAAGTGTAATTGCTGTACAGAATAATTCAGGACGCCTGATTTTCTTAAAAACAACTTCTCTTCAGTGTTTTCTACATTTGCAATTTCGCGCTAACAGTTCAGCAGTGATGATTTAGCCCTTTAAAGGACATTGGTAACTATATGTACCACCTACTTTAGCATTCATTAACTCTGCATTTTTCCCACAGAATGTATGGGAGAGAGAGAAAGAGGAAATTGGTTGAGGGGAGAAGTGAGAGACACTTCGATTTCATCTTTTAGTTAGAAGGTCCCCAGGCAATGCCCGCTCGTCCTTCTGTTAAGGATAAAGTAAGAGTGAAGACGTTAATGCGATAATTGGCAGAGAAGACGGAATTTTGAAATTTTGTATTAGCGAGAGCTGAGGCTATTAATTTGGGAAGAATGTATGGGGTTTACTGTAAACAGCGTTAACCAGTTGATGTTTTCTTCGCGGTACGGACTGAATTCTTTTATTTAAACGAGCTTCGGTTTCAAAAGCTTTACAGGTAACACAACAACAACGCTATTTCGACTGTAGGGGTTAAAAAGTGTCGTGATTTGATTATGGAAACAAAAGAATTTGGAAAACGGCGCGTTCATACATTGGACTAATATTTCATGCAGGCAAAGTAATCGGGGGAAAACGTGGACTTCAGGAGAAAGGAATGTGAACAAATTAGGATTTTACGTAATCAGGAATTCTGTGATCTTTCAAGTCACCTGGTTTGTTAGGACAGTGAAATTTACGCCGGTACGATGGGCTGGGAAACGTCCATTGGGAAGACCTAGAAGCAGATGTAAGGATAAGACTACGATGGATATTAAAAAAGAAATTGTGAAGATGGAAGGTGGGTGTAATATCCTATATACTGGGTTTGGAACGTCCTTGTTTTACTATCAGAGAATTAAATAACTAGTGAACAGATTAGAAAAAATTAAAATAATGTGGAATTATTGTGGTTTCACAGTTATAAATAAGTAATCATTGTAATGAACGATGTGAAATTTTTATGATAACAGGGAAGGCGCGTCCTCCGGATTAAAATAATAAATAGTCCATCCCTGACACAAGATGAACAAAACTAAGGATAATAATACCACCTGCAGAGCTGGAAAAAAAACATTTGTTTCGGTCATGTTACTACGCTGTTAATATTTCTTGTGCTCGCGTGCGATTTCAAACACTTTTCCCCCGTTGAGTCGGAATGTGGCACCCCCCACACACCACCCGATCCCCCGGCCGATAGTGCCCCAATGCCAACTCGGGGGTATTCCCATTACGGAACTCACTCTACGTACACGGTCGCGCCCGAGCGTCAGACAACGGTCCAATTAACAATTAGCAGATTTCTTGAAGTTGATGGTTGCGAGATATTAAGGAATTCGTAGAAGCAAATGCTTGCCTGCGTTCGGAAGACCAACTCCCTCTTCTTCATTGCTGGCGGGGGCAGACAGAACGCGTACAGTAATAATCCTCACCCCACCCTACTCTATCCACCACTTACCTCGTTTTGTATTTCCATGACTGTTCGTGCTCGTGCTTAGTGGCCCATCTGATAATATCCAATTAATATTGACGGATAATATACTAGTGTATCACAAACTCTGATTATTTCCGTTCCGCCATGTTAAAAATCATCCCTCATTTGCAGTGTCACATTTCATACCCTTATCCTCCCTCACTCCTGATTCGAGGGAGAGAGACAGAAGGAAGCGTGAAGCTGACCACGTTTCCATCTAATGTCAATGATAAGAATGTTCGACTCACAGATGAAGGTTCCCAGGCAGTGCCCGCTCGTCCTTCTTACCTAAAAGAAAACATAATGTCTCGATGACAGGGTATAAATAATCGCTATTTCTTCTGAGAATCATGCGAAACGCATAAATACACGAGCCCGGTACTGATTAAAAGACATAGCTATTCAGTTTTAAAGCAGGTGGTACCAGTGGGCTTTAAAATTGTTCACGAAACTTTGAATTAGTGAGTGAACTGTAAGACTTTTTTGCAGTGGATAAAATTGACGATGAATCTTTATTCTCTTATTCGCAGGTTAAAAACACTTTCAACGAGAATTTCCGAAAGTTTCACCAAGAATGGAAATCTACACGCTATGAATGGCTCCCAACTACGGAACAAATTTCCAAGAATTTGGGAGAGCCCATCCCAATTGAACAGCTTCAAAAACTCGAGGTAAGAACAATTAAAAACATATGATTTGATTTTTTTCATAATCGAAATATAAGATGTCTGTCTTCCGGGTTGCTGCGTAGTCTGGTAGAAGTTTACCAACGTTTCGGATGTGCCTGTTGACTCCATCATCAGAGCGAATGATGATGACGAAGGTAGCAAGGACCTCTGAAACGTCGCTAAACTTCTACCAAACTACACGGCGCAACAACCCGGAAGACAAGACATCTTATAGTTGGACCGCGTTGTAGCCAACATGCACCGCGCTGTGGGTTATTTAACGACTCTTTCTCAGCTGAACAGGTTATGTAGTGTTGAATAGTAGGATGATTGTGAATCAATAAGGTCGTGAACGGAAGGGGTCGTGGCCTATTTTAAGATGCTATTGTACACATTTCCTCCTGTACCTACGACCACGTTACTTGTTACAGCTGGACGTCGCCCTGAAGGACACGTTTGCTTATCTGCAGAAGTTCGCAGTGGGCATGGAGCAGATCGTATGGGACCAGATTGACAACAACGGAGCCTACAAGGATCAATTCGCGGACATCGAGTTCAGACTGAGGGCGGTGAGTTGGACAGTAAACATCTTCATGATTAAAAATAAATATCGCGTTTAGTAAGTTTCTTTTCCTTCTGGGTTCTAGCGTCG